AGGGGGGGGGGGGGGGGTTTTCCCGCCTCTGGTCTTCCCTGCGCGAGCCCCTCTGAGGGGAAGAGCGGGCCGCCCCGCAGCCATGCCCGCCGGCGTGCCTTGGCCCACCTACCTGAAGACGCTGGCGGCCAGCCTGCTGGCCATGTTCGCGGGCGCCGAGGTCGTGCACAGGTACTACAGGCCTGACCTTGTAAGTGCTGAGGCGGTTGACGTTGCGTTACAGCGGGCTGGAGGGTCTCCCGTAGAGCTTTTGTGGAGAAAGGTCTCTAGTCTTGACTGCGAAAAATGATCAGTCGCTGAAGAAGGAGCGACGAGGTAGCCAGGTCGTCTTTTGGGACCTGCCTGCAAACGGGCGACGTGGTACCAAAAATTAGAAAAAAAAGCTACACAGACTTCTTCAGAAGGGGTTTCTACTGGGGGGAGTTGGTTTTTGAAAAGAGCACGCAAAAGCGGTGAGAAGGGACATATTAGATTTAAATAGACTTTTTTCCCCCCTCATTAACGGAAATGAAGATGACCAAAAGCTTATGTTAGAAACCATGAAAGACTGAGGGTTAAGACTATCAACATTACAGTCACAGAGAACCAAGCTCCAACTGACACCATCCAGCAGGGATATTTAATGGTTGATTTGGTCTCTTGGAGGCCTTCTAACTTGTAAGCCTTATCTCCTCCTCCTCCTCCTGCTCTTGTATACTTTTTGGTTTTTAAAAACACTGTGCTATACTGAAATCAGAAATAAGTTTAAAAAATCACCGTGCTTGAGCTATCATGTCAAAATTTAAGCAGTGAGGCTTAAGTCATTGATAGATCCAGAAGAATTTATGTATTTTAATCGTCTCTACTGTGGCCTTCATTACAGGCAAACATTTATACAAAATGATCTACACGTCCTTAAACTAGTACAAATTTTGAGGAGGTATGGTTTTTAAAATGTCATGTCATCTTTTCCTTTTTTAAATTTCATGTCCAGCTTCAGTGCTTAATTTCTAAAACAGAAAGGTAGAAGCAGTGAAACTTTTTCTTCTGTCACCAAGAGAAAGAATGTGTGGAAACTTCAACTGGTGCTTTAAAGCAGTACTAGACATCTGAACCAAACTTACTTTCTTAAATGGCAAAAAAGCTTTGTTCCTTTAAACAAACTGTCCCTTCTTCCTTTATCCTCCTTTTTTTCAATTCATATTTTGCAACTTTGAAATAAAAGCTAAATTACAAGAAGGTAATACATTAATTTTGAAGATGTTTTGCATCTAAGAATTACACTGCTCAAAAAAAAGAGGGCAGTATTATCACATTTAGCTATAATGCTGTCTTTTACAGAGTATGCTAATTTACTGGTTTGTAAGTTTAGTTTTTCCTTCTGCCACAACACTGACATCTTTCTCTGTTTTTAACAGAGTATACCTGAAATACCTCCTAAGCCTGGAGAACTGAAAACAGAACTGTTGGGTCTAAAAGCAAGATCAAGCAAAGTTCAGACTTCACAACAGTGACCAGAATTTACTTACAGTATGAAAACCAGAACTGATAAAATATTTGTTCAACTGTCCCAACTGCAGAAATCCGTATGTGAAATACTGTACTCGCTCAATATTTTTGTTTCCTTTAAGCAGAGTTACAGGCAGCATTAAAAAGAAATGTACGATGAATACTGTTGTTAAAAGTCCAACCCGTTGTGCACCAAAATGCTTGTGACTTCTTAATCTTGATTGCAGTGTAAATATCCTTCAGAATAAAAGATGTAAACTCACATTGGCAAGTCTAACAGAATATGAAACTTTTAAGCTGATTAACAAGTATAGGAAGTCTAGCATATTGAAAGTCAAGCGTTTGTGGCCACTCATTAGCCTTAATAAGCTTACCCATTCATCTGCAGTAGAACCCCACTTAGCTCTTGGCATTTCCCCCTTTTTAAACTTTAGCTAAACTTTTAAGCTTTAAACTTTTTAAAGTTTTAAACTTTTAAAACTCAGTTTTACTGGATGTAACCCAGAACGCGATGGCACGTACTCTGATTGTAGCACTTCTTGCACTGGACTCTTCCTAATGCTGGCTAACTGCTGTAAGAGCAGTTACATTGGCTTTCTGCCTGTATTAGTAATAGGAAATCTATACTGTAAGGCTGGGGAGGATCTTGCAACTTGGTTGTATTAGTTAAAATGGGACAAATACATACAGATTACACTGAAATTATGTGTGTTTGTACTCCCTTTGGGCATCTTCTGTTCACAGCTACTTTTGATAGCTGTAAATGTACAAAACTCTGAAGCAACACATGGAGATTTACCTTTCAGTTGTGAAATAGGATTGCCACAAAACTCTCGTACTAGGAACATGACACAAAGTCAACATCCTACAAAGATGGCACAACAACCCATTTTTCTATGGTATGCAGTAGAGCTTGTGAAGGTTGGGGATTGAGAAATCCCAATTTCCCTTGAGAAAGGTACCCAGACAAGGCACAGGCTTCATCCTTGATTCTCACTCAGGTTTAACTCAGGAAAGAAAAACCACAGTCTGACAGGTGACCCACTAAGGAAGGAAAAAAGCTCTCCACTTCCTACTGGCAAAGTACCTGGTGCTCTTGTAATAGTAGAGGGATCCAGAAATGATCACTTAAAGCACTTTTACATCTGTTCCAGCTGTGAAGCTGTTACACTTTATATATGTTTACGTAAGTTGGTTTTCCTAGGATGAAAGATTTATAGTTCCTCTGCATGTGAGTCTCTCTCTGTCTTGTAACTATTAGTTGATCTAGAAAAGCAGCTGATGTGGCATGAGATCCTCTCCTGTTCTTACATGCCATGCGGATGTAAGCCTCCTCTTAATATTAGTAGATCATAGGCTCTATATCTCAGAGACCTTTGTCAATGACAGCAGTATAAAATGGCCTCAAGTAAATCTCAGATGTCAAGCCCAAATGAAGTCAATGAGAACATCTTACTAGATCCAGTTCAACTACTTTTTCCTTCACTGTACCTAAACAAAGCTGAGACTGACAACCTTCCACCTCAGCATAAGATAGAGGTTATTGAAGAGACAAGATGGGGCAGTTCAGCATTGTTTTGTTCCTGTTCTAACTAGGGCAGGAGCAGCAGTTTTCCAGTTACCCCTTTAAAGAGCCAGGATTCGCCAACCTTTACCCTGTTACACTGTCAGAGCACCACCTCTGTCATTATGTTGTTGACTTCCGACACAAAAGATGCATTTCTCCCTATTTTTGAAAGGCAGATCTAAAGGCTGCAGAGAGAAGTTACTGCTAGCTTCACTTGGATTTCTAAAAGTATCCTGCTGCTAATGGAAACTGAGCAACAGAGAGCGTGTTTTACCCCAGCCTTTTCTAGCACTGAGGGAACCCATTCTCATTAGTGCCCACCTAGGAACAGCAAAACTGACAATACACCAGCACAGCAGAGGTGACACCCCCAGAATCAGCGTGACTGCAGCACTGAAAGAAACAGCCTCAGTATGAGTGGGAGACACTTCTTCCGGCATTGACACCATTTGGCTTTACAGAGCTGACCAAAAAAAAAAAAGCTTACAACTGCATTTTGTGCTTATTAATAGCAAACACTTGTCACTCCAGGGTAGAGAAAGCAGCTGGATCACAGCTATTTTGCACATGATATCCTCAGCTGAGGAAGATGAAAAAACACAAAGCATGACTCTCAAGTGTGCTCTTTATTATTTCTGAAATTGAACTAGATGTCATCCTAAAACCAATCAAGGCATTGAGAACTTCAGCTATGTAACAGAGCAAAGGCTGCTTAAGTCTACAAGTAATTAACAAACATTAAGAATACTGTAGCAAGCAACCCTACACTTCCAGTGCTCCTTCTTGAGTTTGTTAGCTGCACAAGCACCCTTAACCATACAGTAGGCCTGAGCCATGTTTAGTACTCAGGCTGGTCAAATAAGATCTAGAGGAGTGGGTATTGATGGTACACTCAGAAGTGTATCACTAGAAGTGGTATTTTAGGAAGTATTAAAACCTCAGCAGCAATTGATTGCTACAGATCACAAAAGTTGCACTACCATAGTAGAGAGGACCATGCCTGAAGAAGAATATGGTGCACCTGCCCTGTTCAGTAACTTACTAACAAAGGACTGCTACTGCTAGCAGCTACTACACTCCAGGGTTAGACCACTCTGCATGCTCTAGTAACAAAAGGCTCTTACAGTGCATCTAAGACCACTACAGTGAGCAAAACCCAAAACAACCCCAAACTCCCTCAAAAAAAACGCAAAACTAAGCTCCCATTCCTTTTTTTCCAGTCTCAAACAGCATACTTCAATAAAGCCAACATCTCTATATAAACCCTAACACAATAACCACACTGATACATCGCATTTCTATTTATTGGATGGAAACAGTATTTGGGCAATATAGAAGCCTAGTAAAAGTAAATAGAAAGCAAGTTCTTCAGGACAGTGTTTAATGCCCTCGCCTGTTAGAAACAGTTTATTTTGCTTCAGATTACAGCACCTCAAACTTCACAAAAGTTCTGTCTGTGAAACAGAAGAACGGTTCTTACACAGTCACTATATAGAAGCACTACTCCTACATACTACTTCCACAGAGGAAGGCAAAAAAACTTAGTGTAAACACTTTTACCAACCCCATGAAGGTGTTTCAAAGTAGACACACCAGTGAGAAAATGTAGTGCTTCATCCAAACAGCATATAAAGCTAATATAATGAAGAGAAAGTGGTGCCTCCAGTTCAACCTGTCTATATTATAATTTGGTATCAACAGATTTAGCTTGAGTTAGATTAAGTAGCTACAGTGCTTTGCCATACTAAAGACATAGAACATAGAGTGAAAAAGTTAAGGAACAACAGCATTAAGGAACAACGGTAAAAGATAAGAGCTTCCACCTTTAAACAAAAGAAACAAACCAACCAACCAACCTGTAGAAAGCAGGTCTGCTGTAGCTATAGGTCAAAGGCAGGGTTACCAAGTACCATGGAGGACAGTATAAGCTTGCAGGCAGTAAGCCACTTCTGGTGGTTGTTCTTCAGATTTAGTGAAAGGTGATTGTTTTTTTTCTCCACTCAGCTCACCTGTAAAAGCTACCACTGCCTGTTCTGTACAGTGGAGTCAGTGCAAACTGGCAGGACTTCAGTTCCAATGCCATTTTTAAATGCCTTATCTTTAAGATGGTAGTACATACATAACTTCTTGAATACTTTTTTCAACTAGCAGGTTCAGTACAGCTCTCATACCAGGTGTATTTTGGCTAAACAGCACAGCAGGGTTGTTAACACAAAACGCAACCATAGGCATATGCTACACAGTTAAATGTGGCTGTGCCAGTGTGGAAAGGCATGAGGACTGCAAACTGTCATACAAAGGACGTGAACACTCAAGACAATCCCTTTGTTTCTTTGTGCTAGCCCACAAGATGAGCTTCCTATGTATAAATTTAGAGTTAGTGGTGTTTGGGAACATTTTATTTTGTACATGACAAGATTTTACACCAAGTCAGTTAAATAATACAAATTTACATTCATGAGGAATGTTTTTAGAAAAGTGAACTTAAAAAAAAAACCTCCTTCACCCTTAAACCCCAATACCATCCCTCAACATTTTACAGTGGAAAAAACCAAAACAATCTAATTCACATTCCCTCTCAATCCTCCAATGCAGGACAGTAGGTGAGTGCAGCTTACAGTTCATCTTTCACATCTGTGGATTCCTGTGGAGACATCAAAGAGAAAATCAGAATCTTGCTTTTTGAAAGTGGAAAAGGTTACAAGAGCTGTCCCAGAAGAACTGAACCTAAGTACTGCTGATGCTTTCCAAAGCACTAAGTGATACAACTTTCTAAAGAGGTATTAAACTCAAACTTCTGTTCAAATGATGCCATGTTAAGCATTTGCTATTAAGAGTAAAAAAAAATAAATTTCAATCTGCTCAAACATTAGCAGTAGATCTAGTGTACCATTTCATCTTTAATACTTTCTAAGCTATCTTTCAGGCACAGTATTAGTGCTGTTAATAGCCCTATTCTACTTGATTGCAGAGCTAGGAAGCACATCTGCTTTCCAGTCAGTAGTCAGAAACCTTAATCTGCAACTGTACTAATCCAACAAATAGAGCATGACTTTGCTCCTTTATAATTTATTACTGTCACTGCAGGTTATACTGCTGTGTAAATGCAATAGTAAGAGCATCAAAATTAAGTAACTATAGTACAATAAGCATTGTTCCTCAAATTTATTCTTAGGTAATCTGACATTAAACAGTAGGCAAGAACATCTCTATAAGCTATGTATTTGCACTAGTGACAAGGTATCTTGCAAAAGCAACCTGAGAAAGCAGGTCCATTTGGGACCTCATAGTAACTTTGTAAGTTATTATCAAGAAACTGTAGTATTGCAAGAGTTCAGCATATCCACCAAGACGTCATTAAAACAGAAGACGTTTGCCAAGTGAAGGCTGACTGCACACAACAGCTGAACTGTTTTAGAGGTAGTATTGTTGTCTATAGTGTTGTTTCAAGTCTGTATTGTTGTAAGCATTTAGAACTATACTCTTGCCAATTCATTGATGTTATTGCCCACAAACTGTGGAAATCCAACCAGTAACATTAAGTTCACTGTAGAGGATTTGCTGCTGTTTTCTTGCCATAGGGCACTCTCTTACAATCTCTTAAGCTTAATTTAGCTCCAACTTTGAACATATCTAAGTGTTTTCTTCTTACAGTATAGTTTGATAAGGAATGAAAGGTAATTTGTGCTGTAGTTTTCTTCCCTCCAAAAAAATCTTGGAAAACCTCACACTGAGAACTAGTGTCACGAAAGGCAAAGTGAACAAGTTTGTTGCCAGGAAGCACCACAGACAAAACTGCATATAAATATTGGTAAGAGTCAAGCTTGAGACCGTACCTTCTGTGTTTCACTGTCTTCAGCATCAGCATCCACCTCCTCTTCATCTTGCTCTGCCTCCTCAACTGCATCTTCAGGCTCTTCAGGTTCCTCCTCCACCTGTAGGAAGGTCACAAGCAATATGCTTTATTTGCTTAGGATATTTACTAGTTGTGGACTAGCTAAATACAGGCTATGGAAGGATTTGCTATCAGTTCCTAACATTTGCCCCAAGCTACCTGATGAAGAAAGCAAGTTCTGTTTAGCATTGACACACTATCATGCCTCCTCCGGTAAGATACCAAGCCTAAGTTCTTGCACAGCATTATGAAAACCCATATTACTTATACCCACTTATGAACTTCTCCATTAATGAGATGGGCACATAATCAGAGCAGAATCTCAAGCAACTGGAAAGAGTGGAAGGGAGGACATGAGCATGAAGCACAGACTTATCAGTTTCCCACCCAGGTACTTGAACTGGGCTCCTGGTGGCCCACCTATGTGTAGGGAAGCTGGATACATTTAATTTTATACAAGTCTATCAAGCATCTGCTTTTTAAGACGGAGCAGCCAATTATCAGCCCCAAGTTGAAGGCAAACTAACCTTTGCATCCAGGTCAATGTTTAAACTTAAACGAAGCATCCTTTCTATTCTGTCTCCATATTCCTTAGTGTCTGGTAACATATATCCCGATCTCAAAGTTGCAGTTTCAAATAATACCACTGCAAGATCTGAAACTGTTTTGTCATCTTCATTTTCCTAATGTGGAAGAACATTTAAAACAAACAAACAAACCAGAACTGTTAAGTAGGTTGTGTGCAGCCAAGTAGTGAGTATTTCACTACTGTTATTTGTTTACCTTTACTCGCCTCAGCATGTCCTTGATCAGTGGATGCCTGGGGTTAATTTCAAATGTCTTCTTTTGACTAGCATAGTAACTGAAAATAATAGAAGTTACATCACTCAGTTTTGAAGTACAGGACCCAGCTACACCTTTAAGCCCATGAATACCGATTACAGCCACAGTAACAAATGTATTCCCCCCCCCCCCCCACTTTAATACTAGCTTAACTCTAAAAATCACTCAAGTTACTAAGACAGTTCATCTTCTCTTGTCACCAAATGACAGGTAGCAAATGCCACTGATGAATCTTGCTCACCAGGCAGTTTTACATACTGGGCTTTGAAGTAACAATGTAAGACTATGATGGAGACTGCAACTTGGTTGTAAGTGACCTTAAAAATACGAAGGATTATCTGAATCAGATGGTAGCTTGGTGTGCCCACACCAAGCAAGGGAGGCCATTAACTACATTTCATGTCTACTGCTACATAACTGAAAGCTTACTTTGTAGATATATCTTTCCCAGTTTGGTAAGCTTGAGCCTTCATGATTCTTTCCATGTTACCCGACCATCCATACTGACTAGCCACAAGAGCACACGGAGACTGGGTTAAACGTTGAGATAACACAGCTTTTTCAATCTGTAGAAAAAAAAGCCTTAATGTTAGTTCACAGAGCTAATAGCTTATACAGAGAATAAAGTAAATAACTGAAATTTTCTGTCACTTCAATATTTTCAGAAGGCTCCAAGATGACACTCTATCTTCCTGAAATAAAGGTTTTAAACAACATGTTTATCCACAGACAGAGAAACTACTGTGAAGTCTCAACACTCAAAGAATCTGCTAGGTATGTTGTAGCAAGTAAAACTGCATTTACAAATAAACTTTACATACAGCATCACATTTTACCTTGTCTTTTAGAGCTTTGTCTTTCATCCAGTTTAAGAGTGGTTCAAATTCCTTTTCCAAGGCTTCCCGACTCTCCTTAGACTTTTCACTTTCTTCAAACTTAACTCCTTCTTTTGCTACATTCTGAAACCTCTTGCCATCAAACTCTGGCAGAGCCTGAATGCAGTATTCATCTACAGGTTCAGTCAGATAGATCACTTCATAGCCCTTTTTCAGAAGACGTTCAACAAATGGTGAAGACTCAGCCTAAGATGACAAAAGAGATCAGACACCAGTTTAATTGCACTGGAACCAGCAGCTACTGAAACCTCTACAACTATTTGACAAATGTTGGTACAAGGAAAACTGAACTGCAGCAGTAACATAAGCATGGAGTCTCCACATTTACAGCAAATACACAGTTCACAATGTTTATGGTACTACTTCAACTAGAAGCCATAATATTTTTTCCCCTCTCCCTCTTTCTTCCACACTCACATACCTCCTTTCTGCTGGCACCTGCCATGAAATAGATTTTGTCTTGCTTCTCTTTCATTCTTTCCACATACTGGTCAAGGCTTGTGAGGTTACTTTCATGATGGGAAGACTGGAAGCGTAGAAGCTTAGCCAGTCGTGTACGATTGGAGTGATCCTCAATAACTCCAAGCTTTACATTAGTACCAAACTCTTTCCAGAATGTGTCATTGTATTTTTCTTCTGCAATTTTCTTGATCATATCAAGAGTTTTGCGAACAAGTTTCTTTCTGATCACCTAAAAAAGCAGCAATACCAAATTATAACAATAAGCACTTGGCAGAACCCTCAATTCAACCCCACTGCAAAGGACATATTCAAGACACTTAGTGTCCCTGATTTGAACAGAAGTAGTCTGAAAACAGCAATGCATGGGTTTCCTGTACTTCAATTTCACACTCCTTATATAAAGTTAATCAAGCTATTATTCTTCTAAATCTTGCTACTATCATGTGTTTACAATGAAGTCATTTAAGATCAACTAGCTTACCTTTAACAATTTATGCTGCTGAAGTGTTTCACGAGATACATTCAAAGGAAGATCATCGGAATCCACCTAATTGAGGAAGAAACTTCTTAAGTATAGCTAACAGTATTTGAAGATTAAAAAAATCAAACACAAGTTAAGACTTATAATACTTACAACACCCTTAACGAAGTTAAGATATTTGGGCATCATGTCATGGAAGTCATCAGTGATGAACACTCTTCGAACATACAGCTGAATTACAAGAGGAAAACAGCAGCCAGGTTATGTTTCTTTTTTTTTTTTTTTTAAGACATGAAACCATACCCACACACTTGCTTGTCCTACCTTAATGAAATCACTTTTTTTGGATCCATATTCATCAAACAGGCCACGTGGAGCAGAATTAGGAACAAACAAGATAGATTTGAAAGTTACTTCCCCTTCAGCAGTGAAGTGGATGTAAGCCATTGGGTCATCATGGTCCTGTGAAGAGAGAATTCTTTTAATTGACATGGGGAAAATATTGGTGAGTTAATACATTTCCAGTAATAAGATGAGTTTGCCAAATAAGTCCAATTATTTTACAATTAAATTATCTATCTATGCTTTTTTAGAATCTATTATGGAGACAAAAGTTCCAGATTCAGCCGAGTCACTCACATAGAAGTAACCTTGAGACCTACTAGTTTTGTCGCTGTGGGTTTTTTTTGGTTTTTTTTGTTTGGTTTTTTTTTTTTACAAGCCAACCATCAAAAAGTCATCAACAGCACAGTAACCAATATGGTATCAGCACAGTTAAACTCCCAAGTAACATATTATGCTGTATTTACACATAAAGACAACGTTGTTTCTAGAAAGCTGTATCTTCCTCTTTCTTCCACCATGTACAACACAAACACCATCACTCTGATTAAATAAAAACTTCCCTGTCAACATTTAAGCATGTCAGTAAGCTCCATATGAGCTGGAACATATTACTTCTCAAACCTAGGCCACTCAACACTTGGGTGGCAGCACCTTCTCTCCAGAAAAAAGATTAACGCCTGACTGAAATGCTATACCTGTCCTGGTTTTGGCTGGAACGAAGTTAATCTTCTTTTTAGTAGTTGGTATAGTGCTGTGTTTTGGATTTAGGATGAGAATAATGTTGATAACACACCGATGTTTTAGTTGTTGCTAAGCAGCATTTATACTAAGTCAAGGACATTTCACAGCTTCTAATACTGCCCTGCCAGCTAAGGCTGGGAGTGCAACAAGAAGCTGGGAAGGGACACAGCAAGGACAGCTGACCCAAATGAGCCAAAGCAGTATTCCATACCATATTACATTATGCCCAGTATATAAACTAGGAGGAGTCGGGACAGGGGGCACCATGGCTCCGGGATTGGCTGGGCATCAGCAGCAGGTGGTGAGCAACTATACTTGTTTTGTATATTCTATTATTATAATTAGTATTATTTTCCCTTCCTTTTCTGACCTATTAAACTGTCTTTATCTCAACCCATGAGTTTTACTTTCCCTGTCCTATTCTCTCCCCATGCCACTGTGGGGGCAGCACACGAAGTGAGCAAGCAGTTGCATGGTGCTTAGATGCCAGCTGGGGTTAAACCACAACAACCTCCTAGGCTCTCTGCAATTCAGTCTGTCTACTGACAGCAATTAATTAATTCTTCAGAAATAGCCCATCCTATAAGCATTCAGTTTTGTTTACACAGCAAGAGATACTACAGCAAACCTCTTGCTTTGGAACAATCTTGAGGCTCAGAGCTTACCTTGGAAAAGGTTTTGTAAAAAGCTTTGTATTCATCTTCTTCAACTTCTTTAGATGGTCTCTGCCAGATTGGTTTTATGTCATTCATGAGCTCCCAATCCCAGACAGTCTTTTCAACCTAGGTATGTAAACACCATAGTATAATAAAGACTCATTCTTTATTTCAGGTTAAGTCAGTTAAAGACACTCCAGTGATGCTAAGTCATAAAATAGCATGTCAAAAATACATACTCTTTCTAATTTACAAAATAAATTATGCAATGGCCTGGATATTCCCATTGAAGTACACACATCAGTGTAACACATGGGAACAAAACTTAAGTCTACACTAGTGTGTTGTCCTACGTACATTTAACACGTTTACTGAGTATCAATACTTCTGTTCTACTGCCATTCCGAAAAAAGCTTTCCAGCAGAGCATACCCAATTTAAACTAGTCAACAGTGTCAGATTACTGAAGTCCACTACTATGTCAAGCAGTTCACTCCAG